CAAGTAGAATATGCATAAGGAAAATCTAACCTTCAAAGTTTCATGTGTAATTCATAAGTAATTGGTAAAACTACATAGGATTGTTAAGATGACGGTAGAACCCTAGTACTTTCTCACTTTGAATTCTAAAAATTGTTTCATTTTTCCTTCTTTAAAATTACAAATTTTAGTTAACTTTTTTTAACTAATTTTGTTTTTCTTAATTTACGTAATTAAGTCAACCTTTTCCAATGTTTGTTTTCAAATAATTAACTAAGATTTTGGTTTTGCATAAATTGTTTTAAATAATCCCTAAGGAAAACGACCTTACTTGAGCCGTTTATATTACAACTACATATTCTCTTGCAAGTATTTTTAAGTGTTTTATCCCACCTTTTACAGGTGGTAAAAATCCCTATTAGTTTGTACAGCGAGGGATTACTATATTCCAAAAAGCAAGGTTCTAGAAAACTTTTATTTTTGCCCAGTCACACCTTTTTGTTTTGTAGCCCTTCAGGAGTTAGTTGTTGTACTCTAGTAGAGATGAGGATCACTTGCAGTTTCTGACGTTCATTTTCAATAATGTAGGAAGTTGTTTATGTTATTTTTGTACATGTACTCTTTACATTTCTGCACGTTTATGCATTGTAAAAAGAGTGTATCCCACATTGCGCACTCTTAGTTTAATATATTTTGATATGAAAAAAGATAGTTACATTAGTAAGGAGAATAAACATTACCCCACACAAAACAAAACAAAACAAAACAAAAAATATAGGAAATGAGGGGGGTGCATAAACCTTACCCTTCTTGCAAAACAAAATACAATAAAAAAAAAAAAAAGAAGGGACAAGGTAATATACATATCCTCACAGTCTTATTAAGAGGGATATATACCCTCATAAAACAATAAAAATAAAATACAGGAAACTACCTTACCCTTCTTATAAAAGAAAATACAAGGAAAAAACAGAGGGACATAGACCTAAAGCAAAAGGTAATATACATATCCTCGTAGTCTTCGGTATGAAAAGAAAACCGATAAAAATCACAATCTAGTCTCCTCTCAGCCTTGTTTTCATCATATTCACGTGCACTGTAATCATGAAATAGAGCCTATCTTGTGCATTGTCAAAGAATTTCAAATATGCATATCTCCATGTCTTCTTAACAATTAAAGAACCACACACTCCCCAAAATCCTACGATGAAACCTAGTACGGTGAAAATATACAACCATGGAAAATCATGTTCATTGTCCACACCTTGGTTGTTCTTGCTATCTGCATTAATGCCCTTAATTGGAAGACACTCATTTGGAAGTGGAGGGCCACACAGTTTTGAATTCCCCTCAAATGCAAAAGCATCGAAATTTTTGGTGAAAAGTTGGACAATCTTTGCGGGTAAATAAGGATAGGCAGGTCAATATAATCGTCTACTTGAGTTGTGGTGGGTTCATGTACCAACCTTGGTAGTCCACAAAGTTCTTTTGGAAATTCACTGGAAATTTGGTTGTCTGCCAAGTTCAAGAATAAGAGTTTGGGAAGGGTCCCCAACGATCTAGGATTTGGCCCTGTAATTCTACTGCCTATCAAATCAAGATCTCTACATTCTTGAGTTTTGATAACCATGAAGGCATTTGATCAATGAACTCACAACCAAAAAAACCCAAAAATCAAAGATTTTGGAACCCATCGAAATCAACCACACCTTCATCAACTGGCATTTCCTCACCCTTGAACGAATACGCAAGCCATAGTATTTGAAGACTTTTGCAATGCATTAATATCTTCATTGCCCAGTGATGTTGGTTAAGCCACGAAGTGAGAGATGTGACAAAGATTTCAATGAAAGAATTCCAGGTTGTATTTGTCCCTTTAGAATATTTGCATTCAAACAAATAGCTTTTAAATACTAGAATGAAAAAAGGCTTGTTGGAAATGTACCGATAAAGTGGTTTTGATATAGGCCAAGTTTACTGAGGTGACTAAGTCTCGAAAAATTGAGCATGGAGATATCTCCTTCCAAGTTGTTGGTTGCCATATGTATTTCTACAAGGTTTATGAAATTCATTAATGATGGGGGCAAAGAATCAAGAGCCAAGATTTTCAATTTGGAGTGCTTTCCAAAATGGAGAGGAGTAGGCCACTCAATTGATTAAAGGAAAGGTCAAAGATTGCAAGGTTGGTGAGATTGAAAATTTTCTCACTTATGGCTCCATGGAGTGAATTTGAAGGGAATGTAATTTCTTCAAGTTTGGTGGCATTGTAGATATCTTTCGGGAGTCGCCTGAGAGGATGTTGTTACTAGCATGAATAATTTGCAGTTTTGAACACTCCTCGAGTCCTGGAGAAATGTTACCATTGAATGCATTTACCGAAAAATCCAACACCCTAATTAAAAGAGAAGAATGAAGACATATGGTGGATGGGATCAAACTTGAGAAGCTGTTGTTATGGATGTTGAAACTAGTTAAATTCTGAGCTTGTTGAAAGAATGATGATGGAATTGCACCATGCAAGCGATTGCTTGACAAATCCAGTGTCTGAACATTGTGGGATGGTAGAGAAAATGGTAGCTTTCCAGAAAGAAGATTAAAGCTTGAATCAAGGAGCTCAAGATGATTCAAAGACAAGAAGAATTTAGTTTCAAGTGATCCAAAAAGTGAATTATAAGATAGATTCAAGTGTGTGAGGTTGTTTGGGTTAATATTTGAACATTGGGTTGCAAGTGTTTGAAAGCCCAAAGATGCTAATTGAAAGAAAACCTGCCCATCAAGCCTAAAGACAAATTGGCGTATTCCCACTAATGCATAGGCCATGTGCCTATGATTTAAAAGTCAAGTGATGGAGACTAACTCACAATCAGCCAAAAAGCACTTTTCAGTGGCAATACAAGTAAAAAGTTGATGACTCACTACCCTTCAAGTGCTTTTGGGCAAGAGCAAAGTCACTACAGTCGGGCTAATTTGCTTATAAAAGGAGGAAGAGGCCCAAGAGACAAGGACACTCAACCAATCAAACAAACAAACATATAAACTTTGCTCTCAAGCCAGATTTGCATCTAAAAGCTTTGTAATTAGCCTAGATCTCGGTCATTTTCAGGATCATTCCCTACAAAAGCCATCTTTTGTCTAGTTTAACAGCTTTGCTACCACCCCTAATGGCGTAGTATCGATTCCCTTGTGTAAACTTGTTTGCCATCCATCCCTTTTTAGCATATAAACCCTGTAAACTCAAAAGAGAAGTGATTGCAAGAAGTTCAACCTTACCCGACAAGGTGAAATCTTGCTCAAAGCTCTTTGTTTGTTTTACAAGTTAGTATATCTAGTGCTTAATGTATTCCCCAGCATGTATTCAAGTCATATCCATATGTTTTCCTACTTTAAGAGATTGTGTCTGGATCTGGCCACTTTGATGGATAGGCCTTCATTTAAAACCAATCAAGAACCAAACAAATGACTTAAGGGATCTGGACTCCCCTCATTCAAATATGCAAGACTATGAACTGAAAGTCCTTGTTCGCAAGGCAAGAAAAAGAACATAAAGTGGACTTAACTCATCTATGACAATCCTTTGATAACAAGAAGTCCGAGTAACTTGGGGCGCAAGTAATCGATTAAACACAATCTTGTTCTACATCTGCTATACTGAGATAGCAATGGCACGCCTAGCGCTTGATTAGTTTTGATTGCAAGCCTCAAGGCCTACACCTAAGGCCTCACAAAGGCACCTTTCAAAAACCAACTATATTCTCTTCTTGCATCACATCAGCAAGCAAGAGTTGAGTCGTGGATTTTTTTTTTTTTTTGAACAAACAATATTATCTATACTAAAAGAAGGGGGGGTGGGCTTAGTTTCACAATGCGCTAGGTGGTTCAAATTCACCTTTGACCATAATCGAACCTAAGAACTCTCACTTACAAGTGAACTGTTTTACTAAGTGGTGAGTCGTGGACTTTAATACACAAAGAATAAAGCTAAGAACTTGGACTGTACCCTTTAAAAATGAATTTTCTTTAAGTAGTAGTCATTTACTAGTCACGGGTATAATATACGTATTATATGTAAAACTAGATGGGCAATTAACGCTTATAGATAATATTTTTATATTATGAATTTAAAGGATAATTAGATTGGAAATTTTTTTATATATCGACGAATGTGGGGTTAAGTCACCTAGAAAATCGACTCTCTTCCAAATTTTCTGAAATAAAAATCGTCAACAAGAAGAAAAAAAGAACTTTGAATTTTGACTTTTACTCCTACCATAGAAGATTAGTTGATATGGCCTTTATATGGTCTAATACGGTGCAAACCCACAATCACCATCTGTGTGAGCTGGCTAACACATGGACTGAAATAAGGATTTTATGTTTTATTCTTTTGGTTCATATTTTAAAATTTGATATTTTTGAATGTCTACTATGAGTCAATTCCGGCCACGTTTAGCATTTTCTGTATATAACACTTTGATATTGTTAACATTTCTATATAACCATTTTTAGACGTCACTCTATTTCAGCTATACTCCCCAAATTCTATGTTATGGTTTTTTTTTTCAATTACCCAACAGGAAAAGGCTTCAAAACCCATGTCTTCAAGTGGGAAATATCTCTTCGACGTACAGAGTGGTTTTGAACATTTGAATGGTAGACTTTGAAATTAGGAGGTCTCTGGTCCTGTCATGGTGGCCCAAATAAAAACCCATGTCTTCAAGTGGGAAATATCTCTTCGGCGTATGGAGAGGTTTTGAACATTTGACTGGTAGACTTTGAAATTAGGTCTCTGGTCCCTTCATCCTGAATTCAAAACCCATGTCTTCAAGTGGGAAATATCTCTTCGACGTACAGAGAGGTTTTGAACACTTGAATGGTAGACTTTGAAATTAGGAGGACTTCTGTCCTTTCATGGTGGCCCATCCTGAATTCAAATTCCATGTCTTCAAGTGGGAAATATCTCTTTGACGTACAGAGAGGTTTTGAACATTTGAAAGGTTATGGTTGATTGCCAATTTCTCAGTTTGAAGTGATGTTTGCTGCTAGCGTGTTCAAGCTGAAAGGAAGAAGGCAGAAAAGAACTTGGATTATGTATGCATTTAGTTGCTCTATATATACCCAAACCTTAGAGAATTCCGAATGTAAAGAAACATATATACGCTAGAGCAGCTTAATTTCTAACCCAATGGCTCATGGCTTCCTTCTCATCCTCTTATTCTCTCACATCATCTCCACAAATGTTCATGCATGCAACCAAACTGAGCGTGCCTCTCTTCTGTCCTTTTCCTCCACCCTATCTTCTCATCCTTTAAATTGGACTTTGGTTAACTGTTGTTGTTGGACGGGCATCGTTTGTAATCAGGATGGTTTGGTCACCCATTTGCTCTTATCCTCTAAAGGCCTCAAAGGAGCTATTTACCCCTCATTATCATCACTTGGAAATCTCACACGCCTCGCCCACTTGAATCTTTCTCACAATTCACTTTCCGGATCACTTAAAACCGAATTCTTCTTGTCTTTGAAGCGTCTTGAGATCCTAGATTTGAGCTTTAATCTTCTTTCGGGAAACCTACCATTTTCTCTGCCATCCCACAATATCCAGACATTGGATTTGTCAAGCAATCGGTTTCATGGTGCAATTCCATCATCATTCTTTCAACAAGCTCGGAATTTAACTAGTTTCAATGTCAACAACAATACCTTCTCAGGTTTGATCCCATCCTCTATATGTCTTCATTCTTCTCCCTTGATTAGGTTGTTGGATTTTTCCTTCAATGCATTTAGTGGCAAGATTTCTCCTGGACTCGGGGAGTGTTCAAAATTGCAAATTTTTCGTGCTGGTAATAATAACCTCTCAGGATTACTTCCGAATGATATCGACAATGCCACCAAACTCGAAGAAATTGCACTCCCTTCCAATTCACTCAATGGAGCCATAGGTGAGAGAATTTTCAATCTCACCAACCTTGCAATCCTTGACCTCTCATTTAACCAATTTAGTGGCATCCTCCCTTCTCATTTTGGAAAGCTCTCCAAATTGAAACACTTGGCTCTTGATTGCAACCATTTCGAAGGTTCTTTGCCCCCATCGTTGATGAATTGCACGAACCTTGTAGAAATACATATGGCAGTCAACAACTTGGAAGGAGATATCTCCATGCTCAATTTCTCAAAACTTAGTCACCTCAGTAAACTTGAGCTATCTCTAAACCACTTTACTGGTAGATTTCCAACAAGCCTTTATTCATGCGAGTCCTTAAAATCTATTAATTTGGCTACAAATAATCTAGAAGGACAAATACAACCTGAAATTCTTTCATTGAAATCTTTGACCTTTCTCTCACTAAGTGGCTTAACCAACATCAATGGGGCAATGAAGATATTAATGCATTGCAAAAGTCTTCAAACGCTCCTCCTTTCACATTCGTTCAATGGCGAGGAAATTCCAACTGATGAAGGCATGCTTGGTTTCGATGGGTTCCAAAATCTTCGAATGTTGCTTTTTTATTATTGTGAGTTCACTGGTCAAATGCCGTTATGGTTTTCAAAACTCAAGAATGTAGAGATCTTAATTATGTCAGGCAGTAGAAGTTACCGAGCCAATTCCTAGATCGTTAGGGACTCTTCCCAAACTCTTATTCTTATGCATGCAAGACAACCAAATTTCAAGTGAATTTCCAAAAGAACTTTGTGGACTACCAAGGTTGGTACGTGAACCGACCACAACTCAAGTAGACGATTATGTTGACCTGCCTCTCTTCACCCCTTCAAACCTAGTTTACCCACGAAGAATTTCCAACTGGCCACCAACAATATCCCTATCTTTTAATCACATTCATGGCAGAATACCTACTGAGATCGGCCAAATGCACCTTGTCCACATCTTGGATCTTAGTGGCAACTACTTTTCCAGGCAACATTCCAGAACAAATATCCAACCTAAAAAATCTAGAGAATTTGAGCCTCTCCATGAATCAGTTGTCTGGAAACATCCCGTTGTCATTGGCAAGCTTTAGTTTCTTAAAATATTTAAATGTCTCGTACAATAATCTCGAAGGACCAATCCCAACAAGCACTCAGCTCCAGAGTTTCAATGCTTCTGCATTTGAGGGGAATCCAAACTTGTGTGGTGCTCCACTTCCGAATAAGTGTCTACCAATTAAGGGCATTGATGCAAATAGTAAGAACAACCAAGGTGTGGACAATGGACATCAATTTCCATGGTTGTATATTTTCATTGCACTGGGTTTCATTGTAGGGTTTTGGGGAGTGTTTGGTTCGTTAATTGTTAAGAAGACATGGAGATATGCCTACTTTCAATTCTTAGATAATGTACAAGATAGGTTCTATGTGATGATTACACTGTGTATGACCATAATGAGAAGAAGGCTTAGAGGAGAGTAGATTTACTTTTATCGTACATCTTCGGTTTTCTTTTCATACGGAAGACAGCAAGAATATTATACTAATGGCACTTGTAAATGTGTTTCTGTTAAGGGTGCGTGCTTGGGGAATTTATCTATATATTAAATGTCCCTAGTCTTGTGTATGAAGAAATATTATCTCATTCAAGATCCGCAGATGGCTGAGAGATTGGGTATACAAGCACCATGGCATGACAAAGAGTCATTCTCTACAAATATATGCTCGAACAAAAAGATTTTGAAGGGAGAATTATATAGCACGATAGGAAAGACTACATGATATTGTGCATTATAAGTTGTTCAACTGAGCCAACTCAAAGACTTATATATTAATTTGATTAGGTTGAGGTGTAAAGTTCTAGTGAATGACAGTGAGTGTTAACTAAGATTACTTGGGTTGCAAGTGAGTGTTAACTAAGATTAGATTACTTGGGTTGCAAGTAACTTGTTTCTCGGGTTATTTGTGATACAAGTGATTTGGTAAATCTCTGCATAGTGAGGATTATGAAGGGGTGACTTTGAATGCCGTCCCTATTCATCAACATTATCCGATGAACTCCGAAGCTAGTGAGCTCCCAAAAGGCATCGTGCTAGGTAAAGATGGGAATATACATATAAGGCTTGCAAGATCCCCTCCCTTAGGCGATGTGAGATGTTACAAAATGAATATATTTAGAAATAAAATTTAATTGTCTTGATATTTAAAATATTTTATTATGAAATAATTAATGATGTTTATTAAAATCAACGAACCGTGATTAAAAATTGAAAAGGATTAAGATTTCAATCAATTGAGTTGAAAAAAAAAGGACAGAAACCTAGTTTCTCCATTCTGAAGTCTTAACCATGCAGCTAACTTGTAGGAATCCTTAAGGGAATCATTACAGAGATATTGAATCATGATAGAACTCAATCATAATGAAGTTGATGGGGTATACAACTCTTAATAGGCTAGTTGCGTACAAACCCTAGCAATATATACAAGGTTATAGTCCCTGCTTCCCTACGTGAAAAACCCTAACGATTATTGAGACCTATTGATACAGTAAGGGAGCTTTTGAGTAGTGGGAGTACAAGACAACCTTAGCATCACTAGCAAAGCTACATAGGTGCAAGGAAGGGCGACCGCCCCTCCACTCACCGTAAATGAAGGCTAAGAACGAGTAGCCGCCCTTTTGGTCAGTCGAATAACTTGTCAATAACAGCCTTTTATTCTTCTGTTGCTGCACAGGCCCTGCGCACGATGACTTCTTATTCTTAGTGTGATGTGAATCTCGACTGCAATAAGACAACTATGGTTGCAGTTGCAAAGCTGGGTGCGACATGACTTGCAAATTGTAGAGTCTGCATACTCACCATCGAGAAGAAGAAGACGAAAATGTTAAAACTGTTGTAGCTTATATTTAACTAAGGGGTGTGGCATGGAGAGAAAAAGGGTGAAGAATAGACTTGAAGAATTATGTATTTATTCCCTAGTCCTTATGCCTTTGTTTATAGTAATAAGGAGGAGAGAAACTTGCTCTCTAAGCAATACAAAGTCTATTAGGAAATATCTTCTAGATCCTAAAGGATTCTTAATCTACCTTTACTTAGGATTTACACAATCACAATATGTATTAGAACATATGTCACAACACTCTCCCTTGAGTATGCAACTACTAAAGTAGATAGCCCATCAGATATTCAGGCAAATCTAGAAGTAGTTGATGAAGTCGTCTCGTCTAGTCGGCACAAGTAGCGAATGCGAGTCTCAAAACAAACAAAAGAATGCATGAGTTGTAAAACTCACAAAACCTCATTATGGAAAAACCTAAGGTGGGACAAAAGCCTATAGCTAAAGGAGAAAAGTGAGAAGTTGCATTAAGTCAAAACTATATGTCTTAAGGATGTAAGTAGGACGTACACAGTAATGGCATTCATGCTTTCAGGACGAAGGTCCGTCGTACATTTGGTACACATTTTTGCAGGCACCTTTGCAGCTGGTATATGTGATCTCGTCACTTTTTACTAGATTAGAGAAATTGTCTGGTTATACTCTGACGATCTAGATTAGGATCGAGATGAAACATAGTGGAAACGTCCACGATAACTCGCGATATTCTGTAGGAACGTTGACGTTCTTATCTCCCCCTAACAGCAGGAACACTGTCTCATAAAAGTGACAATTCATAAAATGAACAGTAAAGAAATCGCATGTCAAAGGTTCTAAGTAACGAATATTAGAAGGAGAATCATAACCGACATAGATTTCCATCCTTCCCTAAGGACCCTCTTTTTTTATTTTGTACATAAGGGCGGCGCAAATGGCACATAGACTGCAAAACCAAAGACGCACAGATGCAATATATTAGTTCATATCTGGTAACCAACTGACACGCGTTTTATAAAGTTGGGTGGTGATGGGCCTAAGGCAGACCAACATGGTTCTTGCAATATTGCATGGCCCCAAGCAGAGATCAAGAACTTAATACATATGACTAATCGATCGCACAATCATTTAAAGGCGTTTAATGAATGTTTCTTCTGGGTCGTTTTGGGTATAAACATGAGACTTTGGATGTTCAACTTCAAAACCCAATTGACATGCAATATCCATCGAAAGTTTCTAATGTAAATTCTCCAACTTATCCAATCAAATAGATTTGATCAGATAATCAGGGTGGTGAGCTTTGAGCTTGTTAATCTGAGCCACCAGTGTGGCGAATACAGCTTGTGGACAATAACCACACGTGTGACCAACATGTACAAGCATCAACCAATACCATAAAGTATCTACATGGTCCGTAGGGTGGTTGAATCGGTGCACAAATGTCATTTTGAATCCTTTGTAGAAAAGATTAAGGATGCTTAGGCATGATACGTTTCCAGGTATGATGTCTTTACTTCTGGTAAGAGGATGCCTAAAATGGCGCATCATGGATCATCCTAGATATCCCCAAACGTACATTAACAGCGAAAATTCCTTTAAAATCGCGAGCTTCTGGCCAACCACATAGTGGGCCTGAATGGGTGTAATCCACTCGTTAAGCATTTCATCTTCTTTAGAATACATTTCTAGCTATATTCATAGGAAGTGCAATGTGGTAATATGCAAATGAATTTTACTTCATTTTCTATATTGGTTTCAATATGGTAATAATGCTCTCAGATATCCTTAAAGCTCAAAAGGCGTTCTTTTGAAACGAGTGAGTATAAGGCTTCCCTTTATGGTGAAATTAGTACCATTGGACAATATAGGGTAGTGCCATGCCCACAATCATGTTGGATAAACTAGAAAGGGTTGTCATGGGATGATTAGGTATGAAATTAGAATAGAACTAGACAGCTAACTTCCCCACAAAACATACCTAAGCATGAGTTAATTGTATTAGTCATATGTGGTAATTTCTAGTAATTAACTCTTATTCAAGAATAATAGTGACATCCAAACACCAATCTTAAATCCAAGAATAAATTGTTCATAAAGTAAACAAATATACAAGGGGGTTAGTCCAATAGGCATTCCATGTCAAATTTCACTCTTCGAAATGTGTTAGGTTTAGTCTCGCAGATTGACTATAGGAATGGTACTTCTTAGCAACATTGGTAGATGCACTTACAAGTGCATAACCAATGATCTATTTCTTCAAAACTGAATTAGATTCTACAGGGTTGAGGTTCGGGAATATTATCCCTTATTCTTGAAGTTTTAGGTGCCAAGGAACATGCTTCGAGCGTGATACCACCTCTTGGCCGGCCTGATTCTACCATATGTTGTAAAACAAACTTGAAATGGGATTGTGAAAGAGAGACAGGCCTAGACTTGGGTACAGTAGGCTTTAGCCGAAACTGGAGGGGTATGTTTAGTAGCCTCTGCCGAAGCAGAGCAATACCGTTCGGTGCACCTCTACCAAAGCAAAGCATGCATGTTGGTGCATCTCTGCTGAAGCAGGGCACCACCATTTGGTAGACTCTAGCCAAAACTACATATATACCATTCGATACCTCCCAGTTGAATTGATGTGGTACCTTTCTCTTACAAGATGGTAGTAATCAAATCTAAGAATTTATTTAATTTCTACTCTCTATACTACTACTTCAGGAGCAATTTAGATATAGAAAATCGAGAAAGATTTTCTTCCAGTCAAAATTCGATTGAAGATAAACTTCAGAATTGTACCTATTCATTGATGTAAAGATTTCAATCATATTTTGCTTCGGGCAAGAATTCATCT